GGTGCACCAGAAACGTGCCAGGGCTGTGGGGGATGCTTAGGGATACAGATTCCCTGGGTACCTCCCCTCCCCCACAGATCCTAATTCAATGGGTCTGGAGCGAAACCTGGAATTTGCTTGGCGAGGCAGTGCCCAGCAATTTGGATGTGGGCTCAGGGAACCCTCCTTTGAGAACCACAGGTCGGGAACACCTGTGGTTCTGGTTCCACCATTCACCAGTCACACGTCCCCAGCAAGTCACTTCATCAACTGTTGCCTCATCGATGCCTTGGGAGGAGCAAACAGCAGCCTCCAGTCACCTAGGGCTGTCCTGAGATCACACAGCGACGGTCGAGTCTGACCACTGAGGAGGGCAGGGCAGAGGTAAAGATTTGCTGGACTGTCCCCCTGTCTGCCTGGGATTGAGTTCTTATGGAAGACTTTCATAAAGATGCCTGGCGACTTTATGGGGTGGAGAGAACTGTGGCTGAACAGGCAGAACTAGAGTGGGTGGGCACGGCTCACAGCTCCTGGCAGCGAAAGGGAGGGGGTGAGGGCCAGAGCCAGGCTTTGGGACGTGCGGTGGAGAAAGGGGCAGGCGCAAGGTTCTGAGAGCCAGATTCGAGACAGAGAGGCCGTGGGTAACCAGGGGACCCCTCCTTTCTGATGGGCGCCACGGCCTTTGGGACTTGGGATTCTGTTCAGCTGCCCCTGAACACAGCTGATCACAGCCACTTAGCCTGATGGGAGTTGCGTTTTCTCACAGAACCAGTCCAGAAGCAGACACGGCTGGCGGTGCTGGGAAGGTGCTGGGAGGGGCACCAGGGTCCCAGACTCCTGTGGGTTCTGGGCCTTGCCATCCCCAGTCACCGCACGGCCACCCCAGGCCGGATTTCGCTTCTGCACTCAGACAGGAAGAGCAGGAAGCAGCTGGGAGACAGGGCGGTGACTGTCTGGAACCAGCTCTTCCCCAGCACCCCAGCATCCTATCATGGGCAACTCACTGGCAACCTCAGTCACAGTGGTGACCTCGAACACACCCAGGTCCCAGCTATTAGGGAAGCTGGAAGTGTAGTAGCTGCCTGAAGCAAAATCCAGGTAGGGAGGCAGGAGGTGGAGGTGGAGTCGGCTCTTGGCCGGTCAAGGTCAACTCTGATACCTGCTAGGTCTGCCTCTGCTTGGCTACTCCACAGTGGGGTCCCTCAGACCATCATGGGCCCAGAACAGAGCATCTAGAGAGACTGTGCCATAGGGAGAAAGACACTGGGGAAAGCTCACTTAGGTCACCAAGGATGAGCCGAGTGTTCTGGGACACGGTCCTGTGCCCAGGAGCCTTGGTTTCCATGATATTCCCATTCTGTCCACGGTTGCTTCTAAGACTCAAATGAGGATCGTGGGAACGATGGGAGGGTTGAGGGTCTGGTGAAAGTGCCAGGCATTAAACCCTGACTCATCCACTGCCTGCCCTTCTTATTCTCAGAGCCTCTCAATTCAGACCCTCCCCTCTCTGCTCGGTAGGATTTGCATTCACGTCCTACTCTCTTCCGAGCTTCCAGCGGTGCTGGTGTCTCTGGACAGCCCGCTCCCCCAGGCCGGGGTCCCAGCCCCTGCACGCCCACCCCAGCTCCCCGCTCAGTGCCCATGGCTGCGCCCAGTCTGACCTTGGCCAGCATGGGGCCTTCCACGGTCAGCACTTCTTCACCTGTCAAGGGGAGATAATAACGTTACCCCGACTCAGGCGGGGGCAGGGAGACAAAGGCAGACAAAAGACCCAGCACTTGGCAAACCTAGACAGCCCTGGAAATGCTTCATAACCAGAATGCTTTCTCCCCCTTTTGAAAACAGAAACGGAGGGAGAATATAAAGGATGGAGACAGGGGAACAAGGTCACAGGGTTGGTGGGCAGAGCGGAGAGGGAGAGAGGAGGGAAAGAGGGCATCTGCTGAAGGCACGTGGTGGGGGTGCTGGGAACAGCATCTGTGGGGACAGGGTGGCCAATGGGACTCTGCCACTCCACTCGGCAGGTGTGTTTGTGATCTGCAGTGTGTCCTTTTTGGGGCTCTGACTCACAAGGGTGCCGGAAGGGAGGGGGCTGTGGGAGTGACTCGATCCCACTTATTTAGGAGGGAGACGGGCAGCGAGCACCCACAACCTCTCTGAGCAGGGAATCTGGGTCACTGCCGCTGGCACCTCATCCTGGGGGCCACCTGGGGGCTGTCTCGGGGACCCTGGTTTCACTGTCGCAGCAGGGAGGTTCCAAACGGCATTCATCACACAGAACAAGGCTTCTGAAGGAGGACCCCGTCTTCCTCATTAAACGTGGCTTTACTTAGGAGGCTCCTTCCCAGTGTAAGAATTCACTGTTGGTTTTATAGCCAAGAGTCTATGGGCGCACAGGCTCCTGGGAATCAGGCTGAGTTTTCCAGCTTGTCATGGTGAAGTTGTCACCTTTCCACAGGGACAGGTGTCAACCATTCCTTTTTTTTTTTGCCTTTCTCTATCTTGGGGGGAAGGGTGAGGGACACTGATCCCATGGTTTGGGATTACATGACCCCAAAGGGGCTGCTCTAACAGTGACAGGATTTGGAGCTTTGAACTTAAAAGTCTCCAGGGATGGGGTCCCCTTGCTCCTTGTCTCCAGCAGGACGGTGGGAGATTTATTCCGAATGGGGCTTGGCCCCATTGGGGGAGGGAGTGTGCTGATGAAGGCAGGAGACTGAGTTTAGACGCTGGCAGTGAGCGGTTTCCTGACCAACAAGGTGAAAATCAGTCGCTGGCGTGGGTTGTAGAGGAGAGACACAGCCCAGCACTCGTCCTGGGCCAGGGATTACTTTTATAAATTATTTATTTAATGAATTATAAAACCAGAACCCCATATGGCACCAAAGTTCATGACAGCGGTGGTTCTCAAATGTGGTCCCTGGAAACCTGTTGGAAATGCACATCCAGACCTGCTGACTCAGACATGCTAGGGGCATTCCAACAAGACCCTCTAGGGGCTCCCCATGCACCCAAAAGCCTGAGAGCCACACAGAGAGGGAAGGGCATAGTGCAGGTGAGCTTCTCCCAGCGGGGCTCCTCCCCTGAGGGAGCCTTTCTCCTTCATGTTCTCACACTGATGGGAGGCGGCTTCCCCTCATGGCTGCACTCCACCTTTTCACTTAATATAAATATATCCTGGATGGGGCGTCTGGGTGGCTCACTCATTAAGTCTCTGACTCTTGATTTCAGCTCAGGTCATGATCTCACAGTTCGTGGGATCGAGCCCTGTGTGGGCTCTGCGCTGACAGTGTGGAGCCTGCTTGGGATCCTCTCTCTCTCTCTCTCTCTGCCCCTGCCCTGCTTGTGTTCTCTCTCTGTCCCAAAATAAATAAAGTGTGTGTATAAAGTTTATACAGAATATATATATTTATATGATATATATATACTTTATACAGGATATATATATATATACACACATATATATCCTGGATTACCCCCAACTCCCATCCGTATGCTAGAATTTCTGAATTGACCTCGGTCCCTTTAAAATTTTTTTTAATTTTTTTTTTTTTTTTTTTTTTTTTTGAGAGAAAGAGAGACAGGGCATGAGCGAGAAGGGTCAGAGAGAGAGGGAGACTCAGAATCCAAAGCAGGCTCCAGGCTCTGAGCTGTCAGCACAGAGCCCGATATGGGGCTCAAACTCATAGACCACAAGATCATGACCTGAGCCGAAGTAGGACAGTTAGACGACTGAGCCACCCTGGCGCCCTGACCTTGGTCCCTTTAACACCTGAGTGGAATTACATTTCAGGGAGCGAAAGATATAATTCATCCAGTCATTGCCCTATCAGTGCATTGAGGCTATTTCTAGATTTTTTTTACTATTCCAAAGGCTAGTGCAATGAGCATTCTTAAGAATCTGTGGGCAGATACAGGTTTCCCCCACTATCCGAAATCAGAGTTTTTCCTGATTCCAGGTTCCTGTGAAACCTTTCATAAGCCAAAACGGTGTAAAGCAAAGAAGCAATGAACATTAATTTATATGGAAAATTGTTGGAGGGCTCCCAACCCCCCCCCCCCAAACCTTTCTTTTTGGATACCTTTGGACATACCATGCTGATGGACGCACAAAATAAATTGAGATAAGAAACAGATGCTCACAGAAAAGTTCAAGGCTCTGGCGGCTTGTTGCTGAGATGCTGACTGTAGTTCCCAGGGAGGGGGGATTGTGGGGCCACCCTTGCTGCTTGGCGTGAGCACGGCCTCTGTAAGGGCTTTCTGCAAAACAAACACTGAATATTGTTTGTGGCTTTTGAGTAGAAGCAAAAATCCTTTCATATTTCTTTTGGTTTTCAAAAACAGGTTCCAATGCAGTTCTTTTGTAAAAGAGAAGCGGCGTGACACAAACTTTCAAAAAGCAGGAGATACCTGTACCTCGTGGCAGCATTGCTGAGGAGAATGGTATTTATAAAGCCAGTTTTGTTTGGATTCTGCCAGATCCTAGATACCTCCTAACAGGTTCCATCAACTTATACTCCCTCCCCAAATACAGAACAATTTCCCTTTCCCACCCTCTCGTCAATACTGGAATCGTAAACCTTTTTATTTTGCCCCCCAATAGGTGAAAAAGGAGACTCAGTGATTTCCATTTATTTGTTTGTTTTGTTTTTGTTTTTAACCATGTTATTTATTTTTTTAAATTTACATGCAAGGTATTTAGCATACAGTTCAACAGTGATTTTAACAGTAGGTTCCTTAATGCCCCTTACCCATTTAGCCCATCCCCCTTCCCACACCCCCTCCAGTAACCCTCTGTTTGTTCTCCATATTTCAGAGTCTCTTGTTTTGTCCCCCTCCTTGTTTTTATATTATTTTTACTTCCTTCCCTTATGTTCATTTGTTTTGTATCTTAAATTCTTCATATGAGTGAAGTCATATGATATTTGTCTTTCTCTGACGAATTTCGCTTAGCAAAATACCCTCTAGTTCCATCCATGTAGTTGCAAATGGCAAGATTTCATTCTTTTTGATTGCCAAGTAATACTCCATTGTATATATACACCACATCTTCTTTAAGTGATTTCCATTTCTTTAACTGTGAGGGCTCTTGGGTTGATCCTTCGCATGTTAGTAGCTACTTACATTTCTTCTGTGAATTTCTTGTTCATAGATTTTCTTTCTTTCTTCCCTCCCTGGCCCCCATCTTTCTTTAGGGTTGTTGGGCCTTTTCTTATTGATTTGGAAGAGCTCATTATACATTAAGGAAAGTGGTAATTGCTACATTTTACATGTGTTTTTCCCTGGCCATGAAAGAACTTTACTGGGTAATTAAATTTATCAGTCTTTTCCTTAAATACATCTAGATTTCTGTCATGCTTTAAAAAGCCTATCCCACCTTGAGATTTTTTAAAAATTTCCTACGTTTTTTTCAAATTCTTGGGTAGGACTGTGAGCACCAGGATGAGCTAGGCTGGGTCCAGGCCTTAGATCTCTCCCACTTCCAGGATAACTCTGCGCCTCACTTTGCTACTCAGGAAAGTAGGAGTAAGGGCACCTGCTTCATAAAGTCAGGTTGCGTGTGTGCTTCTCACCTCACACTTTCGACCCAAAGAAGGTTAAAGGCTCCAGATTCACCAGAAAGATCAACTGGTGGCCCACTGGAGCAGGAGGCTAGATGAGGTGGATCCAGGATCTTCCAACTTCATGAATGAGTGGTTTTCCTTGAGTCTGGTTCCATTGTTGTTTCCTTCATCATTGATTGTCGACCTCCCAGGAAAAGGACCAGTTGCGTTCTGAGGGCCATCAAGCCCCAGAGAAATAGCAGGTCCTTGGGAGTCTGTTAGGGGCTCAATTATGCCCCTCTTCAAAAGCCATATGGTAAAGTCCTAACTCCCAGGACCTCTGAACATAATGCTATTTGGAGATAGTGTCTTCAAAGTGGTAATTCAATTTAAATGAGGTCATGAGGTGGGCCCTAATCCAATATGACTGGTGTCCTTATAAGAAGAGGACATTTGGACACAGACATGGACAAAAGGAAGATCATGTGAAGACACAGGAGAAGACAGCCCTCGACAAGGCAGGGAGAGAGACCAGGAACAAATCCTTCCCTCAGGGTTCTCAGAAGAAACCAGACCCGCTGACACCTTGATCTTGAACTTCCAGCCTCCAGAACGGTGAGAAAACAGCCTTCTGCCATCTAAGCCTCCTTGTCTGTGGTTATTTTGTTGGAGCAACCCAAGCAGATGGGCACAGGTGCTCAGAAGGGATGTGCTCTGGACAGTGCAATTCTGGCCTCTGACTTTCTAGGCAAGTGGGGGGTGAAGGTTATCTGGGGGTACCCCTTCCCTGATGCTGAAGACTATGACCCAGATGTAGAAAACGATTTTGCCTGCTTTCTCCTTCTCCCTCACAGTTGCCCTCCCGGAAAGACAGTATGTGAGGCTTTGGGTTTGGACCGAGATAAAAGCTGGAGGACAGGTGCTCAACCACAGCGTGAGGACCCTCCCTTCACCGGGTGTGGACAAGGACATCCACGTGGACCTCCTGAAAGCTGCTTCCCCTACCGCAGACCCCTGGAGGCCCACTGACAGCTGTGGCAAGAACAGGTGTGGGGACACAGGAAGCTGGCAGCCCCCACAGCCCCGGGATGGGTGGGCAGCACACAAGGGTGGACAGAGGTTAACGCGGGGAGGGGCGATGGAGACGAGACAGTGTGGCCCCTGTTGTGAGATTTCCGGTCCTCCCTCCCAGCTTGCCAAGGCCTCCTGTGGGTGCTGGTCATGTCCCCAGAGCTGCCAGAATGCTCCTGTGCCCGTCCCTCTTCCTCTGCCCCCTACATGCTATCTTCCTGGATCCCAGACTGGGAGCAAACCAAACCAAGGGCAAGAAAGGGACCGTCAGGGAAATCTGGGAAAGCTGGACTGTGGTTTCAGGGATGGCGTTTAGGGTCCACAGGCTGGGGCAGCAACATGTCTGAGTGGAGGACAAGCCTCCTGGCCAAGTTCATGCTTGAGAGACTGTTGGTGCGTCCCTTTACTATTCCTGCGGGCTCTGATGAGGTTCCTCCACACTGGACAGGGTAGGGGGCCTTCTGCAAGATGAAGACCCTACCGTCCAGTACACTTGGGCCTCTGCGTGGGTAGGGATTCTTCCCCAGCCTTGAGGGCCTGCAGGTCCTCTACTCGGTACCCAGAGCTTAGCCAGGTTGGGAGTGGCATGGTGGGGGGATGTGCCATTCACACTGTGATTTGGCCCCAAGGCCCAGACAGGCCTGGGCGCTATCCCCCACCCATCTCTGCCCACCACGCAGGCCATGTCTGCTAATGAGCCAGCTGCCGAGGAGTGGCTCCCAGCAGCTGCCCTGGCCCAGCCAGGTGTGTGTGGCCTGGGGCGGGCAAATAGCCGGGCAGGCCGGGCACCACTTGTAAAGCGTAATAACCCAGTACAGCAGGATAATCGCCCCTTCCCAAGAGGCAGACGTGATCTCATTAGCAATCATACAGAAGGTTGGAATAAGTCTCCATGCTCTTTGGGGTGGGGGAGGCACTCAAAGCCAGGAAAACTGCACTGTCTGCTCCAGGTGCAAATGGGACCAAGCTCCAAGTTTGGAGAAACAGTAGAGTGATAGGCAGGGGGACTGGGCGTGCTTAACCAAGATGGAGAAAAAGACTCGGGGCTCAGGGCTGGCAGGCCGCGCTCCCAGCTGGGAGACTGTTCTGCGTCCTCACCCAGAATACCCTCCTTGGACCAAATAAGCCCTCCTCTGCTGGGAAGAGCTCTTATCCAGGCCATCCTGTTACCCTCTCTCCTGTGTACTCACCTGGTACTCTCACCTGCACCTGCACGGAGTTGGAAGGAAAGAATGGCCAACACCTCACTGCACAGGGGAGGCTCTATAGTTTGTCCTGGGTTATGTGGTCACCAGTGTCCCCTGCTTGGTCAACTTCTGTTCTCCTAATATCTTTCCTTTATGCAGGGGGTTACAACCCTTTTTTGGGATGCATGGCCACTTGTGAGAACCTGGTGGAAACTACCAAAGTCTTCCCAGATGAGCACATGTAAAAATAAAATGCCGTATCTTATATCTAGGAGTTAGTGGATTCTCTGAATCAGTTCGTGCATGGATATTCCAAGCCAGTGATTTCCATAGTGTGCATCAGGATGATCTGGGGCTTGTCAAATCTAAGGATGTACAGGCCTCACCAGCTGGACTGGGGTATGACCAGCAATCTTCACTTTGGCCAGGTCCCAGCTTGTTGGGAAACAGGTTCCAGAACTGCACTTTGAGAAACACTACTGGATGAGGCCTTGAGGAACAAGTGAAGATTCTGCTTCAAACCCATCTCCGTTTGTCATCTATTCAGATGTATGGATCTTGACATCCCAAAGGAAGTTGCAAGCTCCCCAACAAAAGGGACGTCATCTTAAATCTTTCTGTATCCAAGACCTCAACCATTAAGGTCTCATTAAGTGTCAAAACTCCTTAAGATTCCTGGAGGAGGAGTCCCAGGAAAATCTACAACCCAACCAACACGGGGAGACTTTGTTTCTTCTATTACCAACCGTGTCAGGCAACGTTGCCTTGTTGTGATACAATAGGATTCCTTCCCTTCTCCTCTATTCATCTACCATTGGGGGCACTTAGCAACTGGGGTCTATGTCTGGGAGAAGCATCTTTGCACAGGTAGAGATAGTCACCAGGGATCCTGGCTTTCCCACCCCCAGGCTCCAGTGGCTGTGTGCAAGCTGCCAACTGAAAGGCGATACGTGCGTCTTGGCATTGTTACACCCCTGGGTTAGCTGGTTTGAATTTGGAATTCTAATCTGATTGACTAAGTAACTTTTACTCTAATGAGAACAGTAGGGTTTGGTCTTAATCTGCAACCATTTAATCTTCCGTCTCATTAATTGTACAAAGGTCTTTATGAATATGTAGATTGGGAAGGGAATAAAAGATTATTTGACCTTGAAGAAACACGTATAAAGTAGGTGAACACTCTCCCGGTCTCCCGTTTCCTTTTATTAGGCAGATGCAAAAATTGGTCCAGCTCCAAATCAGGCTATTGTGGGTTATCGGCAATCTTGCAGCCAATTACGATACAGCATTCTGATGAGCCATAGAAGTATAATAATTAGAATAGTATTCACATGCGAGCTGCTTGCTGCGAATTTGCATGTAAATAAAAATGTGGCTATCAAAACCAGGCAGAAATGGCCCACTGATGAAAAAAACTTCAAAAGGGTCAAACGTGAAAAAGAAAAAGGCCTGTGAAGGAAAAGGTTAAGTGTCATGGGCATGACATTGAGTCCTTTATGAAGAACTCGTTTTAGGGTAGATGGCCTTCCGAATATACCTCCCTTCTTCCCTTTTAGATAATTGGTAAACTGTCCTCTTTGAACTAGTTAGCTGGCTCAACATCCTGGCCCCTCCATCAATAAGCCAGGACCTCCTTGAGTCTCAATGTCCTTGTCTATAAAATGGGGACATTCCCACCTTCCCACAGGCCTGTGAAGCTTAAGTTAAATGAGATTGAACATGGAGCTCCTGGGACACAAAGACTGCCCATAAAACGTCCATTTTTAAAGTTCCTTTCTTCCTTCTGACAACATACATGGAAGGCTAGGGAGGAAATATTTTCTTAGCAGCCGAATCGATCCACAGGGAGAAAGGTGTTCTTGCCTCCAAGTAGAATGGGGGGAAATAGCAAACCAATTTAGCAAACCACTGGCTTTTGTGGCACCACGTGGGGTGTATAAGTCAGAGCCCAGGAGACGGAAGTTCATGGTTTGCTGGGTTTGGACCTGGTGTGGTTGCTAAAAGCCCCCCCCTTTCACTTCCAGAGCACCCTGGTTTGAACCATAAATTATACAGCTGCTGGTGTCAGAGCAGAATTACTCAGGACCACTAGGAAGGTCTTCGGAGGCTGTGTGGGAGAAAAGGACAATGCATGAGGCCACTGAGGGTAGAGGAGCGGGCATGGTTCCTGCAGAACTATGCTTCGCTGAACACTGGGTGACAATCTCTCCCGGATCCCCTAATGTCTTCAGTATATTACCTCCTTTTTATTAACCTGCTATGGAGTTGAACCATTGAGCGAGACATAGGATTGCTGAGGATGGTCCCAGAGAAGGTGCATAGAAAGAAGGTAAGGGCCACCTATGGGAGCCCATACTTTTGGTTACACCTGGGACTAGTGTCCAGCCACTACGCCCAGCGATGGGTATTGGGTATTGGGTATTAACCCAGCCACCCTTCCAGATCATGGCCCCATAACGGCTGCTGGTACTCCCACTGTTAGTTGCCCCAGTCCTTTTCCAGGGCCCCTCCCAGGTGCCCACATCTAAAGCATTAACACCTGTTGCCCCTCCCCCCACCTCTAGGCCACGGGCTCCAGGATCCAACACCAGCTCACTCACTGCTATGTCTTCTGATTGGGTGATGCCTCTCCAGCTCCAGTGTTAAGGGCTGTGACATCCCATCTCCTGTTGCCTACGTCTGCACCAAGCTCAAGATTCTTTTTTTTATAACTTTTTTTTTTTTTAATGTTTATTTATTTTTGATAGAAAGAGACAGCAATAGACACAAAGCACCAGCTGGGGAGGGGCACAGAGAGAGGGAGACACAGAATCCAAAGCAGGCTCCAGGCTCTGAACTGTCAGCACAGAGCCTGACTCGGGGCTCGAACCCACGAACTATGAGATCATGACCTGAGCTGAAGTTGGATGCTTAACCAGCTGAGCCACCCAGGCGCCCCAGAGATTCATTCTTAAATAAAATGTCCAAAGGCAATCTGTCCTGAAGATTCCGCCTCATCGTCCTCTAAAGGGGAACCATATACTCTCTTTTCCAACTTGGTCCAGTAAGTATTTAAGCAAACCTCATGAAGGGGAAGAGTTAGCTTCCAAAACACCCACTGTCCTGCTCAGTGATTTCTTATCAGGCACCGGTGGTGTTGGGTCTGGTGGGGAGAGGGCAGGGCCTGGAGAGGAGAGTGTTTTCCTGGCTAGTGTGCGGTGTGAGTTTTGGCTCCTGTCCTCTGACATAGTTTGCTAATCCTTTCCACGCCAAGGGCCTGCGAGGAAGGGCATGTGTGACGAAGATGGAATGGGCTGGGCTGTTTCTCCGCTTGCCATTTTCTGAAGCAGAAGAGGGGGCTACATGACTGTTATTACGTTTAATCTTTACATGTAGAGCAAAGGAGAGCTGAGCCATTTTAATAGTTAATCAGTTTTCAGACGACATATTTCACATTCCTTTTTGTATTCAAACACCAGTGAGAAAACTCCTGGCAATAATATCCACTCCATAGATGCTTGAGTGATGGAAAAAAGTCGTGACACAGTTTTTCCATTGCAAATCAAAAAGATATGATCTTATGTTAGTACAGGGAAATGTTTATGAGGGGGGCAAAACAAAAGTTGGCGTGTATACACTAATTAAAAGTGTGTAGAAACAGCTCTAAGTACATCAACAAAGATCAGATGGAATCTTAAAGCTATGCTTTGGGTTGGACTCTCTTCTGAATGCAAAGTTAAGTTTTAAATTATTCTTGTAAATATTAATTAGTGATCTGGATCAATAGTTCCAGGAAGAAGGCAGCATTCCCAGGGCCCATCCGAGTGTTTCACAGACGTCTGATGCCAGGCCCTCTCCCAGGACAGACACTGAGCCCACCTTCCCTGCTGCCTTGGATGACACACATCAAGGATGACTTCAGGTGGGGGGTGGGGCACAGCGATGGAATGCTCTCCAAGATAGGAGGGTGAGGGAAGGAAGCAGAATAGTGCCCACTGTAAGCAACAGCCTTGGGGCACCTGGGTGGCTCGGTCAGTTAAGCATCCAACTTCGGCTCAGGTCATGATCTCACAGTTAGTGGGTTCGAGCCCCGTGTCAGGCTCTGTGCTGACAGCTCAGAGCCTGAAGCCTGCTTCGGATTCTGTGTCTCTCTTTCTGTCTGCCCCTCCCCTGCTCATGCTCTGTCTCTCTCTCTCTCAAAAATAATAAATAAATGTTAAAAAAAATCATAAGCTACAGCCTGTGTACAATACACACCCAAGCACAAAGAAGCAAATGTGCCCGAGGGTGCTTGATCTGTGTCTGGCTGGACAAGAGACCCTGGCTCTTATGTTGGCCTCCAGAGAATAAACAAAGAGCTTGGAGATGGGGTAGGAGAGAGGTTTCACTAAATTCCACTTTGTACTGTTTGGAGTAAAAAATTGCCATGCAAGCATTTCCTATTCCAAAAGGAACTTATTAATTACTTTGTATGTTTAAATGGACCTCACCCATGCACACAGCCAGACTCCAAACCAGAAGTCCTTAAGACATGTAAAGCTGGTCCATCCCCTTGGGTTGCCAGCCCAACTCCCTGTCTTCCCATCCCCCCACTGCACCTGACAGTAATGGCAGCTTTGGCTGTTGGTTCGTCGGCTGGTTGTGCAGACAGACCGTGGTTCAAAAGATTAATCCCTGAACTGCCTCTTTCTTCAAGTCCTCACATCCAACCTTTTCCCTTGTGGCCAGTCAGAGGTGGCCACACCCTGATTATTTTCAGGAGTAATAGAAATACTGTCAGTTACAGCGGGAATGAAAGCAGCAAAACACAGGCAATGTGTTTAACAGCAACATCAAAAATCCAAGACAGCTTTTTGCAAATCCAAAAGGAAGCCCAAGATAAGCATAGAGTTTGTGTCTTAGTAGTGTCAAAGCAAAAGACAGAACATCCTCTTCTCAGAACTGAGGAGGGGCACATGGGCTTGGGGAGGGGCAGGAGCAGGGTGGGGGAGGAGCACTGGGGCCAGGCTTCCTGGAGGTTGGTGGGCTGGGGGCAGAGACCCCAAGGGAGCGTGGGGTCTGCTGTAGGGTGTTGCCAGATAAAATACAGGATTCTGGTTAAAACAATTTCAGATAAACAATGCTTTCAAAGTGTATGTCTTAAATATTGTATGGTGTTTCTGTAGACAAGGAAGCTTCCACATGGGTTTGGGATGGGACCCTCTGAGGTAAACCCTCCTCTCCCACCAGCCACAGTGATATTGCAGACCCTCGGCCACAGGAGATGGGCATCTCCCTGCCATGAGAAGCCATCCTCCCAATGTTCTCATTTTTTTTTTTCCAGTAAAAACCTGAGACTCAGAGAGTTTGAATGAATTACCCAGTCTTTGTAGTTGCCCACCTGGTCAGAGGCAGGTCTGGATTCCCACTGAAACTGGGGGCTCCTGTCACGTGCCTTGAGTGTGGGGGGAGGCAGTCTGCTGAAGGCTAGGAGAGGCAGCCGTGTCTGCCTGCCCCTGACTCCAGATCAGGTCCTCAGGCTCCTCAATGCTTAGATGAAGAATCTCAGGCATCACTGGACACCTGCCCTGCCCTGCCTGGTGGATCACACGTGTTGTGTGCCTCTTCATTCTTTCACCTTTGGAACTATCACCACTGGGGACATTCAGACCTCTGCTGGAACTAAGGTTGGCATCAGTGCCTGTGACTTGTCAACCTGACCACGACTGTGAGTGTCCATATTCACAAACCCACCCACTCAGGGGGTTGAAGCTCCAAGTCAAAATGCCACCTGCCTGGGACAGATGTCTCTATCCCTTGCGGACCTGCTTCCAAACTGGGTCTCAAAAGAAGCAGAGAAATGGAGGGCCAACCAACGCTGGGAGTCGGCGCTAGGAATAACCATTTTACCCATGAGAAAAATGAAGTGTGGAGACATTAAGTACCCTGCCTGTGATCACTCAGATCTTCAGCAGAAGAGCCAAGAGTTCCCCAGCTGCTAGGTGGCTATGGATGACACAATTCTCTGCAGCAGCATTATGGAGAAATCCTCCAGTCCCCAGGCTTCGCCACTCCAATTGGTGGCATTCGAGGACAAAGCTATGCACCCTTCCACCTTCTCAGATCTGGAAGGAGCCTTCTGAACCAAGCAGATGTAGTGGTATAGCAGGAAAGATGGGGAAATTCAGGGCAACAGTAAGCTACTAAGATGCATCGCTGAGACT